GAACCCGCCACCTTAGGTGTACGTGGCTGGCGCCTTAGCCGGTTGAGCTATAGGTGCCAAGCCAGAAGTTCCTGGCTTAATAGCTTATTTCTTTTTATCATTGAATAGTAGATCATGCATTCACCTGCTGAAGGACATTCTGGTTGCTTCTAACTTTTGGAAGCTGCTATAAACATGTAAGAATAAAGCTGCTATATGCTATGAACATTTATGTGCAGGTATTTGAATAGACGTAAGTTTTCATCTCATTTGGGTGAATTCTTGGGAGTGCGATTCTTTGTAGGGAGCTGCCAACCTGTCTACAAAGTGGCTGTATCGTTTAGCCTTCTCATCAGCACTGAATGAGAGTTCCTGTTGCTCTGTATCCTCACCACATATGGCCCTGCCAGTGTTTTGGATTTTAGCCATTCTAATAGGGGTGTGGTGGCACATCTGGTTTTAATGTGCAATTCCCTAGTGACAGAAAGTTGAGCATCTTTCTGTATGCTTATATTCCATTTGTTCTAGCACCAGCCATTCACTTGCCTTTGCTCTTTCGTCAAAGATGAGTTGTATTTTTGTGGGTCTCCATTTGGGCTTTCTGTTCTGTCTCACTGATTGCATTAGGGTGGTACCTATCTTACAGTTGAGGAGCAAATGATTGGTCCTTCTGACCCTCTCATACTTTCTTGATTACTGTAGTTGTATAGTAAGTTTTGAAGTCAGGTAGTGTCAGTACTTGGGCTTTGTTCTTCAATATTATGTTGACTGCTCTGAGTCTATTATGTTTCTATAAAACTTTAAAATGAGTTGGTTTATATGTATCTCATAACTTGCTGGGATTTTGATTGGAATCATGTTGAATCTGGATAAAACAGAAAAGAAGCCACATCTTAACCATTTTGAGCTCTTCTGTCCGTGAACATATATTTAGATCTTTGAACTCTTTAATCAGCGTTTTGCGGTTTTCTCATATGCCTCTTGTATATATTTTGTTAAATATATACCTATGTATTTCATTTTTTGTGCTAATAGAAATAGGCTTATGTTTTTAATTTCAAATTCCAATTACTCATTGCTGATGTATGTAGGAAATCATTTGGCTTCTGTATACTAATGTTGTATCCTGTAACCTTATAATAATTTATTTCCACATGTGTTTATTTCTTACTCTTAATAAAATTAACAGAGTTAGCTTCTTTGCTTTGGATATCTTTTTTGAAGAATTTACAGTGTTTTTATTTTATTTTATTTTTTCCTTGCAGGGAATGTCTTGGGAAACATGAGGTAAGTTATAGGTACAATTTTTAAATAAAACTTACAATCTATGTCTTTTCCACAATAGTCATTAAAAATAATAAAGTCAGCGTATTATTATTTCAGTGTATTGAAGCGTGCAAAATTTTGTCTACTAATTTTAAAAGTATACTGTGCTTTTATTTTGAAAATTAACCACATACATTCACTGTGGAATCATACTGAATTTTCATTTTAGGAAGAGAATGTTTTGCTTCTTTGCATTCATTTTTTAGAACATTTTGATGGGTTACTTTGGTTTTAATAATAATTCATTGTTATTAATGAAAACCTATTAGGCCTTTCTTTATGAAACTTGAGCTCAAATAATAGCAGAGTCATTATGGAAAACATGGGTTCAGAAGGTTTTTGTGTGTATATGTATTATGCTGATTACCTTGTTTTCTTTTAAGGTGAGTCCTCTCCCATGCCATGCTGTAGGACCCTACTCTTGTAAGAGAGTTTGTGGACGAACTTTAGATTGTCAGAATCATACGTGTATGAAAGAATGCCACGAGGTAACTGAAGTGGATGGCTGTACTGGCAAAAACAAGGTAATGTTTTTAGGTTGGATATATATATATATATGTGCTCACAGTATGCTTCAAATATTTTTTCAGCAATTATACTACAGTTTTTTTTTTCTGTTTTGCTTAGTTTCTTTCCTCTTTTTTGCCCTCATTCCGTCTCCTTCCTTGTTTTCCTAAGACTACTGACGTTAATAGATTGGCACCACTGTATACGAGATCTCTGTGCTGTCTCACGATAATGTGCCTTTAACATGGAACTCTTTCCATGGAGCTTTGCATCTTCTTAGATAGTAGCAATGCCACCTCCGCTTATTTCTATTCATATTTCTGAGTTTAGAGCATTTGTTTAGTTATTTTTCAGACCTAATACATGATAGGTGGTCACAATTTTAATAAATTCCTAATCTTTTTGGGAAAATAAGTAGCATCACAGATGTGTATGTCTGTGTATATAATAAATTAAAAGCATTTTATAGGAATGTGAGAAATCAGTTATTCAAAGATCTCCTAAAAATTGCCATTTCATAGGGAAAAAATATACCTAATTAAATATTAAATCATACTAAGCTTTATTTTTAAAATATTTTTATAAATTTCCATTCTATAGGGGTCATAATGTTAGCATGTATCTTAATGAAAAAAAGCCAGAAATTTTAAGTTTTACTTTATTATTAACATTATATTTGTAGATAATTTAATTATTAGTTGAATTATGTTATTGAAAACTTTGCTTGGATTACTAGAATTTTTCTGTCTTCGATTTGGTAATTGTGGTACATGGCAGCATGAATGCTCATAGCATTATTCTCGTTCCTGTACAGATACGTATGTAAATGTAATGCTTATAATTTCTTCTTCACTACATGCCTTGATTCTCAAAAATGTAATCATGATAAAATGAAAATGATATTGGAATTGTACTAGTCTTTCCTAGGAGATATAATTTATATTGGAAGTGATCCAGAGAGATAGCTTAGTGCAAGTGGAGACTCAGTAATCCGTTTCTTTTTCATATCTGGGAGGAGCTCACATCATAAGTATAATTTTTGTTTTGCAGATAAGGAAACTGAATCTTAATATTGTCAGGGGACTTACAATCACATAACAGGAGAGTAGCAAACCAAAAATTAGTGTCCCTGCTCTCTTACCTCTCAGCCCAGTAGGCTCTTCTTCACTCATTTAAATCTATTTAAATAGATTGTTGGAGGTGCACCACAGCCAGGAGGAGCAAAGGAAGCAGACTCCGTGTTGACGTTGGTTCCACTTGTACGCTTTGAGATTCATCGCCTAACCTCCCTCAGTCTTTCCTATTTCAGAAGTCATATTGCCATTTTGACTCATGCCAGCGGTACGAGTCAAAGACATAGGAATCATGCTTGATTTGGTGATTACCTTTATTGTCCTTGTCTCACAGCAAATTCTGTTAGGTTTATCTCCAAAATAGATTCTGAATCTGACAATTTTTTATAACCTATGCTACTAACATCCTGGTCTAAGTCACCATAACCTGGTACCTGGATTTCTATAGTGTTTTCCCGACTAACCTTTCTGCTTTCACTTTTGTTTTACTACATCAGCCAGATTCATCTTTTTAAAAATGTAAGTCAAGTGTCATTTCCCTGTTCAACAGCCATGGTAGCTTTCAGTCACTCTCACATTAAAATCCACAGGCTGCATGATAACCACAGAGGCTCTAATGATCTGAGTCCTGACACCTTTCCTCCTCCTCATCTGACTGCTCCTTATTCTTGTTTGTTCACTTCTGCTTCTCTTCTTGCTGTTTCCTGAACATTCCACATTTGTTCTTCGTCACAGCCATTATACTTATTATTCCTTTTCTCTGGAACTCTTCCTTGTGGCTCTCTTCTTCTTTTAACTCAATTTCTGTTCAGATGTGGGCTTTATCAGGCAGGCATCCTTCTTATGCTCCCATCCCTTTCTGTTATCTTGTTTTATCTTTCTTCAGAGTACTTATGAAGACATGATATTATGTTCTTTCTACTTTGATGTAAGTTCCTGGGACCTGTCTCATCTATTCCCAGTGCTGGAACAATGCTTGGTGCATATGGATTGAATGAGTATTTGTGGAATAAATGAATATACTTTGTAAAAGTTAAAAAAAGATATATATATATATATATACACACACACATATATATATGTAAAAATTTTTTATAAAAGTGTTTTCATAATTTGACACATTACTTCTTTTTGGTCGTAAATGTCAAAAATAGCTTAGACTCTTATGAAAAGTAACTGCTGTAAGCACTGCTATACCTTGGATGATAGTAAAAGCATTTAACCTTCAGACTTAGTGTCCGTGTCTATAGATCTATCTCTGACTGACTTCTTCTCAGGTATGACATCCAAACCAACGGTAAAAAAACTTCAACTTTCTTTAGTAGATTCTGATGCTAGTTATATTTTTAAATTGCAAGAGCAGAGACAGAAGTCTTGTTAAGTTACAGTGAGGTACATTTATAATATTTGTAAATGTAATCTAAGCTTAATTTACTAATGCGCTTTACAAATAAACTGCTGATTCTTCTCCTGTTTTCATTCCATGTATGTTTGTCATTGGCAAGATGAGGTAAATATCTCCAGAACTTTGCTGCGGAATTTTTAATGTGTTAACAGTTGTTGATTTCTTTAATTCAGTGATAATTATGTTTATCAGATGGAAATGAATAAACATTTTACTCCTTTTTTTTCTACTCCTGACTGTTCTTCAGGAAGTAATTTACAGTTTTAGTAGAGATACTTTATGTAGTCAAATTCATGTTAAAGATTAGACACTTTGACTTAATGAGGTTCTTAATATAAAAATCTTAAGTGAATAATGGTCATTTTGACACTCTTACTTTTCTTTTTTTTGAGTATTTTTAAGATAAATACATATTAACTATTTTTAAGAGCTGCAAAAGTATTTTAATGGGATACGTAAGTTTTATACCTTAAATATATAGAAATGTTAGACTTCTATGCTTAGGCAATTTATTTCCTTTCTATTTTTCAGGCTGGCCCAGAATGCCTTCATTGTGAGGAAGGGTGCTCTAAGTCACGGCCACCAGGCTGTCCTCACCCTTGTGTTTTACCATGTCACCCTGGAGAATGTCCCCCTTGTGTTCAAATGCTTAGAATAAAATGTCACTGTAAGATAACAAGCCTGTATGTGGAATGTAGGTAAGTGGACTGAAGAAATATTCTTATCTTACTAAAATTGTCTGAATTGATACTTCTTATAATTCGGAGCCCTTTACGATATACTTTATAGAATATTTTTCATTTGTATGGCTCAAATTCTGGAGACCTAGGTTATCCAGTAGATCTGAAAGGAAGATGTGTAGATGTTCTACTTTTTTCTTTATCCTGATTTCAAGCAGGAAAATTTTGCTTTTATTCCATTTGAAGATTCTATTTAAGATTTTGTTAGTAAAAGTTGTATCATTTCTTTAAAAAAATTAAGAAATACTACTTAACTATTTTATTTGATCAAATTAAAAAAATTAAAGAAATACTACTTAACTATTTTATTTGATCAAATTTGACTTATATAGACAGGTGTACATTGTTTTATTGTGCTTCACTTTATTGTTTCACAGATACTGCATTTATACAAATTGTAGGTTTGTGGCAACCTTAATAAAGCAAATCTGTTGATGCCATATTCTTGCTTTGTGTCTTTTGTGTTACATTCTGGTAATTTTCACAACATTTCTTACTTTTTCATCATCATCATATATATTATGGTGATCAGTGATTAAGTGATCTTTGATGTTACTGTTATAATTGTTTGGGGCACCATGGATGGAACCCTTGGTTCTCACTTTAAATCAAAAGCTAGACATGATTAAGTTTAAGGAGGAAGGCATGTCCAGAGCTGAGACAGGACAAAACCGAGGCCTGTTGTGCTAAGTTATGAATGCAAAGGACAAGTTCTTAAAGGAAATTAAAAGTGCTATTCCAGTGAACACAGGAATGGTAAGAAAGTAAGATAGCCATATTGTTGATATGGAGAAACTTTGAATGGTCAGGATAAAAGATCAGAGCAGCCACAACGTTCTCTTAAGCCAAAGCCTAACCCAGAAGAAGACCCTCACTCTCTTCAATTCCACAAAGGCTGAGAGAGATGAGGAAGCTGCAGAAGAAAAGTTTGAAGCTGGCAAAGATTGATTCATGAGGTGTAAGAAAAGTAGCCATCTCTGTAATATAATAGTGCAAAGTGAAACAGCGGGTGCTAATGTAGAAGCTGCAGTGAGCTATCCAGATCTAGCTAAGGTAGTGGGTGAAGGTGGCCACGTTAAACAGTAGATCTTCAGTGTAGATGAAACAGCCTTCCATTGAAAGACGATGCCACCTAAGGCTTCCATAGCTAGAGAGAAGTCATTGCCTTGCTGTAAAGGAAAGGATAAGGTGACTCTTATTAGGGGCTAATATAGGTGATGTCTTTAAATTGAAGCCAGTGCTTATGTACCATTTGGAAAATCCTAGGACATTTAAGAATTCTTCTAAATCTAGTTTTCCTGTGATCTATAAATGTAACAGCAAATCCTAGATAACAACACATCAGTATATAGCATAATTTACTGAATATTTTAAATCCATTGTTGAGACTTCATTAGGAAAAAAAAAAGACTCCTTTCACAATAATAATGCTTATTGACAATGCACCTGCTCATCCAGGAAGTCTTACGGCAATGTACAAGGATGTTGATATTCTGTCCATCATGGCATCTATTCTTGAGCTCATGGATCAAAGGATAGTTTCAATTTTCAAGTCCTAAAATTTAAGAAATATATTTTATAAGGCCATAGCTGCCAGATATAGATAGTGATTTATCAACCTGGACAAAGTAAATTGAAAACCTTCTGGAAGGGATCTGTCATTCTAGATGTCGTTAAGATCATAGGTGATTTATGGAAGGAAGTCACAATATCAGTATTAACCGGCATTTGGAAAAGTTGATTCCAACCTCCATGGATGATTTTTGAGGGGTTCGTGATCTCAATAGAAGGAATATCTGCAAATGTGGCCGAAACATCAGGAGAAGCAGAGCTTGAAGATATGACTGAATTGCTGGGGAAGGAGAAAAAAAGATCAAACTTCAAGAATAAAAAAGGGCAAAGGATGTGAACAGCCTATTGACAAAAAGAAATTAAAAAATGGTCCTTAACACATCAAAACAGAGAACCGAACTGTAATGACACACAAGGAGCCGTAAAGCACACCTACTCATTGTAAAATACCATTGTCCACTAAAAACGCTCTTGGAGAAGTGACTTAAGTCCTGGGCTGAGATAGGTATAGTACAAGAGGAGCCTGGGACATTTTTATCAGCAAGATAGAAAAAAGAAATACTAAAAGACAGATGGAAACATATCAAAAGGACGTGGGAACCAATTTAAAGACTCTGTCATGGGCCTCTGATGTTTATAATGTAAAAATCCAAATGATAGTGACAGATTAAATAAGAATCATTGGTTCATGCTGGTATTAATAAATAGAACAGGGGAGAGTGCTTCTCTATAGTAAAATAGATAAGTTAATAAATGTAGAAGATAAGATGGAGCTAGAAAATTAATTGTTTTGTAAAATCTTGGCTATTTCTCTGGTGTTCTGTGCTCTAGAATACTTTATGTAGTATCATTGGAATTAACTGGCTTTGAGTGTTTTCAGAGTTATCAGAACAGTTAAGTAATTTGAGGATAATTATTACAGATAGAGAAACAGTTAAAATATTTTTTGAGAAAAAAATACATAAAATAATTATGGACATGTTTAAAATTGAATTTTTAGAAGGAAGTGATAGAAAATGGACTTTGATTTGAATGTCATCAAAATTTTCTGTCTTGTTTTTAGAAAAATAACCACAGCTGATGAAAATGGAAAGAATCTCCTCAGTTGTTGCAAAAATCAGTGTCCTAAAGAGGTAAGCTTTAATAGAATCTTTTAAATTATGTTCCTTGGGCATTGTTCTCTTGGATTTTCTGTTTTCTTGTATGGCTGTTGTCTTATTTCAGATCCTTTCTGAAGAGTGTGGGTCTCAAAAGGAAATGTGATTAATTCTATAATAGTCTAATGCATAGGGTTAGAGTAGTAAGTGCACTTCATTTTGTGAAATTTGAGGATGTTAGAACTAGGAATGACCCTTTGAGAATTTTTTTTTTAAGAGAGTAATTTTAAGGATAGCTTATATACTTCATATAAAAAAATAGTGACCTAGTACTTATCCTCCAAAATGCAATTCAGACTTAAAATATAAATAGACTGAGAACTGTGTAGGTTGTAAGCAGTTAGTGAATCTGTAAGTTATTTAAAATGAGTGTGTGTGTGCACATGTGCATGCGTCTGTGGTGGGTCATGTGGGCGACAGACGTCCTCGTCCACTGTTCTGTGAAGAAGTTTTCATAGAAGATTACTCTGGACATTTTCATTGTGGCTTTTGGTGTTGGTACCATTCAGTTTATTGGATCTTTAAAGTTCACTGCTGTATTAAATTAATAAAAAGCATTCATATGTAAATAGTGTTTTTTAAAGATTCTGATGCTTGAGTAAATGTTGTATTCAAACTAAAAGTATCAAAAGTTTGAAAAGTTGTTCAGAGTAAAAAGGTAAAAACTCACAAGTGATTTATCCTGGTGGTAACTTGAGAAACCAAAGTAGTCCATCTCGATTTGGGCAGTTTGAAAGGGAGTGTGCTCCTTTTTGTGTTGCTCAGTTTGGTACAATGACAATTATTTGATTTGGGTAGGCATTTATAAAAGAATCCTTTTGATTTACAGAGGTACTAACTAGATGTATTAAATTTTCATTACCTTTATGTACTTATCTAAGTTTCTCATCCTGTTGAGAGTCAGGGAGAGATAGCAACTAAGTCATGCAGTATTAAGTCTTTAGGTATAAAACAAGAAACACCTTTTTGTTAACAACATTTTCTCTTAAACTTTGGATCACTTTTTTAGAAATTGACCTTGAGGGTTTAAGAATTTACGTAAGATTATTTTAAAAGAGGACATTTGAAGCAATAGTGATTATTTTAATAATCCCATAGTGAGATGACCATGGACACTTCAATCTCTCCCTTCCGAGTTTTCAGGTTCCCAGGAGAGAAAATCTGATTGGCTCATCTTGAGTCCAAGGGCTCCTCTTGACATAGGTGACCCAGCCGGGAGCTGGAACAGGGAGCTTAGCCTCAGCTGTGCTCCTGGGGAGATGTGGTGAACCAGGCAGCTGCCTCAGTTTCTGTCTTGTACAACTTTCAGCAGCACTGGATGTAGAAAGGCAAGGAGATTCATGGTGTAGTAGATGGGTGAGATGGTAGTGTCAAATAGACGATGTAGAGAAAAGAGGTACATATTTTGAGAGCAGAAGACTCAGCCAGAGAAAAGGAGACTTTAAAGATGTTGGTGAAATTGTGAAGAGTTAGAGGCACTGGCAGGAATGAAGGTGAGAGTGAAATTAAGAAATAAAAGGCTTGAAAAACCTCCGTGAGGCAAATATTCGATATTGAATAAATACTGAGCCTGTTAAGCAGTGTTCAGGCCCTGTACTAGCTGTAGGGAGAAATAGTTCTGTACTGGTCCAGGAATGCTTCGTGTGGAGCTTACTCAAGCTTACTCTGCCCTGTGGTAGGATTAGTCGGCATACACAACGTGAGTTATCTAAATTTCGTTTTAGTGTGAATGCAGAGGCTAAAAGTTAAAGAACAGGAAGCCTAGTTGTACACTAGAGGGTGACTAAAGACAACAGAAAAGGATTCTGAATTTTTAAAGTTGGTGGAATCAGTAGTTTGAAAGATCAATCTGGTGATCTCATAGAGATCAAAAATTAGAGAATTTAAATGTTTGTTAAGGTTTCTTCTATTTGCACAGTATCTTTGTTAGGGATTATGCAGTGAGAGATATGAAAAATATATAGATGCTTCTTCATTTATGATGGGGTAGCATCCCCATAAACCCATCATGATGTTGAAAATTGTAAGTTCTACCATCATAAATTGGGGATTGTCTGTGTAAAACCATAGCCCTCTACTAACTTATGATAATTTCTTTATAATAGCTGACTATACTGAGCTAATCCTTACAACTTTATAAAGTATTTATAAAATATTCCTCTTCACAGTTTTACATGTGAAATATAGAAAAGTCAAGTGACTTGCCTAGGGTCCCACGGTTGATAAATAGGGGATCTAGGATTGAGCTCTAGGTAGTAATCCCTAACAATAGTGTATTTTATTTACATTCAGAAATATAGGAAATATTTAGGAAAAGAGCCTAAAAGGGGGGCTCTTTTTTTTGGGTAACAATTCAGGACAATACAAGCAATGTCACAATAGTTTAGAATGGGAAATTGTACTAACTATACCTTTATTTACAAAATATTCATTATAGAATTTTAATAAATATTTGTTTACATGTTGATGTATAAATATAAAAATATTTAAAATATAAAATATGAGTTTGTTAATTTTCCTATTCATCAGTTTTGGCCTCCTAAATCATGTTTTAATATGTGGTGGCAAGAGTGAATGTCAGAGAGTAAAAGCCTAAGCAGCTGGGGACACGGCGCCTGCTGATAAAGACGTTTTCTTTCTTTCTCATGTAACAGTTCAGGGAAGGGAGACATGTCACTGTGCCCTGGGTGTTCACCACGAAGGGTTAGCTGACCTGTGGTGTCCTTAGAGCTCTGCTGGAAAAGAGCAGGGAGGTAACTCCTGAAATGATTAAGGCCCAAGTCACTTCTCCATACTTGCTCACATTCACGTGGCGGGAACTTAGTCACAGGGCTACAACTAGTGACAAGGGAGCTGGGACATATACTCTGGGAGTGGAGTTGGGGCGAATATTTAAAATTTTTATGTAATAAAAGTAATTTATATCTAAAAGAAAAATAATTGACAGATTAGCCTATTAGCCAGGATTGATTGACTCTGTGTGGCTGACTCTTTCTTAAAACAGTTGTTGGGGTGGAGGGAAGTAGAGCATGACCAAAATGTAAATATGTAATTGTTTTATTTTGGTTTTATTTTAGCTTCCTTGTGGTCATAGATGCAAAGAAATGTGTCATCCTGGTGAATGTCCCTTTAATTGCAACCAGAAGGTAAAACTTAGATGTCCTTGTAAAAGAATAAAAAAGGTAAATATGCTAAGTTTTTGAAAATACTTTCCTATGTAGGCTGGTTTTGTTTAGTTTGGGCTGTATGTTTTGGTAGTTCTTTGGTTTTAATTTTTGCCCTCTAATTTTTTAAAGGTTTTATTTCATAGATTTTTAAATTATTCAAATAAGCCTACCAATTGTTATAAATGCTTATTAAAAATCAGCTTTGGCAATTTAGTTTTCTGTAATTTAATACCAGAAGAAAGATCGTTTTATGTTGGAACCAAGGCCAGTGGCCTTTTTTTTTTGGATAAAATCAATGTGCTCTAGATTTGAGGTCTGAACAAGGAGCACAGTGTGAGTGATAAAGTGAGTCTCGTGGTTTAAGAGATGGTCTGGAATTAACCTTTGTTGCTCTCATCTGTGAAATTGTTTTTTGCCATCATTGTTGCCCTTTGAAAATTTTGCCTTAAAAAGACCTCATATGCACAGTTATATAAAATGAAATGACTTTCAAATTCGGAAAGAATTTTCAAGTAGTGATAACAAAGGAATAAATGGGTGAAAACTAATGATTGGAAGACCCAATGGAAACAAACTCTACCATTCAAAGAAACTTTTGAAGAAAATACAGGAAATACAGAAAAATAGAGTGGCCTAATAGTGTTTTTTTCCATTTTCCTTTCCCTTGGCAGTCTTAGTTGGCCATTTGACCCCTTGGAAACCAACTTGGTTGGCCTCCGATTTACCCTACCTGAAACTCATTTTGTTCTTCATTTCTCTATGGTTATTCTTTAAAGGTAGTGTCCTCCTTCTCTTTAAATTTACTTGTACATTCATCTGTACAACAGATACTTATTGGGGATCTTTTGTAGGTCCCTTGCTTTTCATTTATTTTCATCATTCCTCATATATTTTCCTGGGGTGGGTAACTTCTGAATTTACATTTATAGGCCTGACTTCTTAGAGAGTGGAATCTATATGTTTTCGATATTTAACTTGACCATGTTTACGTGAAAATAAGTGGTCAAGCCACTTTTAATCTGAGATGTGTCTTAAAGTTTCTTTGAAATCTCTTGTCTTATCCAAGTGCCTTCTGACACCCTTTAGCAGTTTGGAACAACTCTTTCTTAGGTTTTCACAAGAATTTCATGCTGAGTTCCTCGCCTCTAGCTTTCTACTTAGCTGATACAAACTCTTCAGTGGTTCTTTATCACTTATGGGAAGGGATATGTTTGTAAGACGTGTATGTGTAAGTATATGTGGACTTGGCATCTCAGGGAATCAGTGATAAGACCTTGGCCTGCGTGTCTAGTCTCATCACCCAGCAGTCAGCTCTGTGAATCTTTTACTGAAGTGCCCACACATATGTGCTGTACTCCGCCTTGGTCTATGGGAGTCTGTCTATTTCTTCTTCCTGTAAAATACAGTATTTTTTCCTTCACCTTTCTGTGTACTAGAATCCTTCTGATACTTTTTGTAGGCCCTTCCTTGTTTGTGAAGGTCTTCCTTCTGCTGACTCTCTTGTTAGATGTAAGTGCTCCTTCATTTTGGCTTTCTTTGTACTAGGCTCATTAACTCAGAGTGATTCTAGGGATACCTGTCACCTGGTTTCCTTATCTGTACAGTAGAGTTTATGTACTGACTTATTA